AGTCCAGGAAGCCCGCAGAACCCCAAACAAAAGGAATCCAAGGAGGACCACACCAAGACACATCATAATTAAAATTCCAAGAGCAAAAGACAAAGAGAGAATATTAAAAGCAGCAAGAGAAAAGCAGGTAGTTACCTATAAAGGAACACCCATACGATTGTCAGCTGATTTCTCAACAGAAACCATGCAGGCCAGACGGGAATGGCAAGAAATATTCAAGGTGATGAATAGCAAGAACCTACAGCCAAAAATAATCTACCCAGCAAAGCTATCACTCAGAATCAAAGGACAGTTAAAGAGCTTCACAAATAAAAAAAAGCTAAAAGAGTTCATCACTGCCGAACCAGAATTATATGAATTGCTGAAGGAGGTTATTTAGGAAGAGGAAGAAGATAAAGATAAAAATTATGATCAACAAATACGTAACTATCAACAAGTGAATCTAAAAACCAAGGGAATTAAAAAAATCTGATGAACAATATTAACTGGTGAATATAATAGAATCAGAGGTATGGAAGGGGAGTGGACTGATGATTCTCGGGGAAAAGGGGAGTGAGGGTGCAGGAAGAGACTGAACAAAAACTGTGCACCTATGGATGAGGACAATGGGGGATGGGGATGAGGACAATGGGGGATGGGGAACCTGGTGGAGGGGAGCAATTGAGGGGGGGAAGAGGATCACATTTGTAATAATCTGAACAATAAAGATTTATTAAAAAAATAAATTACTTTTATGAAATACCACCTTAATAAATTAGCTTTTAAAATTAAAAAAATTTAAAAAACCCTTAAAAATCCCATGTCAGAAATAAAACAAAGGGCATCTTTGTACATATTAATAAAATTTTGGTTAAAATAATGTATTTAAACCAATCTGTCAAAATGGCAAGATCACCATGTCATGTTACAGTGGTCGGAGGGACTAAAAAATGAGCACTAATCATGGAGAATGTGTTGAAAATGTGATCATAATCCCAAATATTCTGGTTATAAACATTATACAAATAATTGAAAGTACCACTGTTTAATTTCTTAAAAATTAGTCATCCCTGAAGGGAATGACTTGAAATAAAGTCCAACTTAAGAATTTATTATCATCAGCTTTGTAGTATAGCTATGTAGAAAAAGGTCCTATTCTTCCTACTAGAATATATGCTTTTCTTAAGACAAAAGATGATGCCTTGCTTGTTAACTTTTCAGAATAGGAGTCAGTATATGACCCCTCTTAATTCTGATGCCAGTTGAAACTATACTCATGTAACTATGGCCAATGTATAAATTTAAAGGCACAGTGGTCCAATAATTTGGACTCTGGAATCTGTCAGACCTATATTTATTCAGTTTGGTCCCCTACTAACCAACTGTATGAACTTTTCCTCTTTAAGCATGTTTCCTTAGTTGCAAAGTGGAGATCAAGATAATTTCCAGGACACAGCATGTAAGGATGATAAACATAAAGGCAAAGCTAACATTAACTGTGTTATTACATTTGCCCAGCATTTTGCTATATGCATAATAAGAATTCTCATTTAATAATTTAACAGTTCAATCAGGTTACTGTTATTCTCAATTTACAAATGAGAAAACTGACAATTAAAAACTTGCCCAAAGTCCTATGATAAATGGGTTAGGATTTGAAAAAGAGCCTGTGGTTTACCAACCATAGAACATGAACATAATAAATGCTCAATAAATAGAAGCTATTAAAATTCTTTCTCAACTACTAGATTAATCTAAATTATGATTAGAAGAAAAGTAAATCATCTTAGAGCCTTTTTATCTTTTTCAGAAAGTTAAAATTGCCCTTTCTGGTTTGGATAGAGTGCTGGCCTGAGGAATGAAGGGTCCTGGGTTCGATTCTGGTCAAGGGCACATGCCTGGGCTGCAGGCTTGATCCCCAGTATGAGGCATGCAGGAGGCAGCCGATTAATGATTATCTCTCATCACTGATGTTTCTATCTCTCTTTCCCTCTCCCTTCCTCTCTGAAATCAATAAAAAATATTTTTTTAAAAAGTTAAAATTATAGAAATACACTTAAAATAGAGGTCTAGTTGGGCAAAGAGTAATCTCCTAACTAGGAAATAAGTGTAACAAAACTTCCAATGCTTAAATAGAGACATATTTTATGCTAAACCACCCCATGGCCAAGAAGCATAAAAAGCAGGAACAGGAACAGAGATGCATCTGACAGCTTAGTTCATGGTTTGAGTTGCAGAAAGTTATCTAGGGGGATTTTTACTAAGGAGATTTGGGATTATATATAATAGTATCTCCAAGGAAAATTTTATCTCTGAAACATTTAGTTATCTGAAAAAATATTTTTAAATATAAGAATAAGAGGATATGGGTTAATCAGTGATTAATAACAATTAAGTTTGAAAAAGTGATCATTTTATTCCAGGTGCTTTTAATTCTTAAAACTATCTTGAACCATCTATCCTATATAATAAAGAGCTAATATACAAATGGTCATCACACCCTCATGCCATCACACCTTAATGGCTCAGACACTCAACACTGGGGGGGAGAGGGATGGGGACCAGCCAGGCACAAATGAGTTTACAAGAGAGGAACAGGGACAACCAGGCAGTGGCCCAGGAGAGGGACAAGCTGCCCACCACGCAGTCCCAGGTGCCTGTCCATGGTCCTCTGTGGCTGCGACCAGCCCAGGCGAAGCCGACCCGGAGCCTGGGTGCCTGCAACCAGCCAGAGGAGAAAATCCTAGATCCTAGATGCAGGGCAAGGCAGAGGTGGTTAGGGGCAATCAGGTCAGCAGGGGAGCAGTTAGGGGTGATTAGGCCAGTAGGGGAGTAGTTAGGAGCAATCAGGCAGGTAGGCAGAGGCAGAAGTGGTTCGGAGTGATCAGGCAGGCAGAGGTGGTTAGGGGCAATCAGGCAAGCGAGCAGAAGGGTTAGAAGTGATCAGGCAGGCAGGCAGGTGAGTGGTTAGGAACCAGCGATCATGGATTGTGAGAGGCAGTTGGGTATCCCGAGGGGTTGCAGTTTGAAGAGGGTGCAGGCCAGCCTGAGGAACCACCAACCCAGTGCAAAAATTTCGTGTCCCGGGCCTCTAGAGTGTGTGTGTGTGTGTGTGTGTGTGTGTGTGTGTGTGTGTACTAGAGGGCAGTGCACGAAATTCATGCACAAGGTAGGGGTGTGTCCCTCAGCCCAGCCTGCACCCTCTCCAATCTGAGATCCCTCTCACAATCTAGGACTGCTGGCTCCCAACTGCTCGCCTGTCTGCCTTCCTGATTGCCCCTAACCGCTTCTGCCTGCCAGCCTGATACCTCCCCACCAGCACTACCCTTCCAGCCCCTGATTGATGTCTAACTGCTCCCCTGCCAGCCTTTTTGCCCCCAACTTCTCTCCTATGCTGACCTGGCCACCCCTAACTGCCCTCCCCTACAGGGTTGCCTTCAACTGCCCTCCCTTGCAGACCTGGTCCCTCTCAACTGCCCTCCCTTGCAGACCTGGTCCCTCTCAACTGCCCTCCCTTGCAGGCCTGGTGCCTCCTAACTGCCCTCCTCTGCTGGCCATCTTGTGGTGGCCATCTTGTGTCCACATAGGGGTAGGATCATTGACCACATGGGGGCAGCCAGCTTGTGTGTTGGAGTGATGGTCAATCTGCATATTACTCTTTTATTAGATAGAATAGAGGCCTGGGTGCATGGGTGGGGGCCAGCTGGTTTGCCCTGAAGGGTATCCCTGATCAGGGTGGGGGTTCCCTTGGGGCTTGGGGTGGCCTGGGCGAGGGGCCTGTGCTGGTTTGCAGGCCAGCCACACCCCCTGGCGACCCAAGTGGAGGCCCTGGTATCTGGAATTTATTTACTCCTACAATTGAAACTTTGTAACCTGGAGCGGAGCCAAGCCTCCTGTTCCCCGTGGCTGGCAGCCATTTCTATTGGGACTTATGCACCTTTTATAATTGAAACTTTGTACCCTTGAGTGGAGTCTAGGCCCGCCAGGGTGTGTGGAAAGCTTGGCTTCCTCCATTGCCGGGGAAACCCAAGCCTCTCTCAACTGCTCTCTGTGACTGCAGCCATCTTGGTTGGTGTTAATTTACATACTCACTCTGATTGACTGGTGGGCATGGCTGGTGGGCATTGCTTGAGCAGAGTGATGGTTAATTTGCATATTACTCTTTTATAAAGTAGGAGATATATATATATTTATAACTGAGCAATGACTGAACAACTAAATGATCAGTTGACCAGTCACTATGGGCAGACTCTCTATGCAGGAGCTGCCCCCTGGTGGTCAATGTGACCAACAGGCGCCAGATGTAGGGCTCACAGACTGGAGATGCAGCCTGGAGATGATAGCAGATGAGCCTACGAGCAGCTGTGGTGGCAGGCACAGCAGGGGCTGGATGAGTAGGAGCGGCGGGCAGAAGCGGCAGGCAGCATTGGTCTGCTGGTTTTGGTCAGATCCCCACAAGCTACGCCAAGGGATGCCACCAGTGCACAAATCCATGCACCAGGCCTCTAGTATACTGATAAATGTGGTTAACAATTTTAGTTTCTTATCATGTTTGGCTGCTTTAGTTTTTTTAAATAATGATGTGGTAATGTTTTTAATTATGCCTTTTAGAAATCTGGCTATCTGGATAACAAAGCTACTCATTAATACTGCAATCCTGGTAATGGCTGGAGGAAATAAACACCTCTCTAAGTTCTGACTTTTCAATAGTCACCTTATATAAAAACAAAAAAATGCCAAGCATACAAAAACATGTGTTCACTGATGAGAGATTGAAGCACAAAGGAGGAGAGGCTGAAGACTATGTTTCAGGGATATAACCTATACATGATAAATATTGGTTGGTAGAGGTGGGGAGGAAAAAAACGGAGGGAAGAGCAGGAAGAGGAGAATATGGGATTCCAAAATGATAGCCACACACAGAATCCAAGATGGGAAGGGGACAATGAGTAGTTGGTTAGAATGCAGATTTTGTGCAAGTAAAGCAGTACATGCCTGGAGAGGTGTGATCAAACACTTACTTCAACCTGTTGTAGAACATCCACTTGTAGTCAACATTTATTATACTGATATTCTCTCTTTTAAGTACATTAATGGATTGTAACCGGCCCACATGCCGAAAATTAGGAGCTTTCCACCTCACATATCTCCTATCAAAACCAGGCAACCAATAAACCTGTAAGAAGAAACAGGAAAATTTTCAGTGGACAATCAGCTTTCTAGGTATAAACAGTCCCCTGTACAATAGATGGAGCACCATTCCAGTACTGGTGACAATCTATAGGAAGCAGAGAGAGATTCCAGCCCTTGACCTGATATAGTCTGATAGACTCTTACAATGGAGCTTTCACCAGGGTTGTTCTGCAATTGAATTCTCTCAGGTAACATCATGGGTCAAGGGCCCATCATGTCACACTAACCAAAATGGAGGAGGGGTTGGCAGGTGTGGATGAAAGGTGGGAACCATAAACATCTCCTCTGGGTGATGATGCTAAACATCATCTTTAAGAGGGCTCATTATGACTCATCTGTGCAAATAGTTCCTAAAAAGACACATTTTTTTTTTCTGACTCACAGCACTCTTCCATATTCTGAGAATTTAAGAGATTTGGAATAATTGACTACCCCAATGCAGAGAGTTCCTTCTGAAAAACATGATCAGAAAATATATGCTCAAGTAAGACCTAGCTTATTCATCATTAATTGAAGCCAAGTCCTCAATGCATTAGTGTACCCAGGCCCTTTTACCTTGGTGCATGGTACAGGTCACATCAAATAGTCATTACACTGCTGATATTTCGTTTGCTTTGGAATAGCAACAAATCTCAATGTTTTCCCCCAGTGAAAGAAATATGTGAGTCATTCTTAGGTTGCTTCATGTTATGTATAAGCAATAATCTCCATTTCTAAAGGGAGCAAATTTATTTAAGGATCCCAGAGAAGATCTAAAAGACAGGGTAAGTTCAACTGCTATACTCCTGGGACATGCTACCCACCTCCCAATCTTTACCATAAATACTGAGATAGACATACCAAACGGTGCTCAATTTTAGAGTCAAGGATCACATCTACTACACGACGTATGTATGTATTTCTGAGAGGATGTTTTGGTGGAGGGCCATTAATATCAAATATCACATAGTTATTTGTCTTCCGTGCAATTTCCAAATAATCACTTAGTTTTGGAATCCTTTGATTTTTTGCCTTTTCTTTATCAGCCTCTGATAAGGGTTTCATATTGTAAAATGGCTTCCTCTAAAAATAAATACATCAGAGAATACATTGGCTCCTATAAAAAGCATTTTCCAATTTTCCTGCTATATGGCCCTACCTCCATCCTGCTCCATTATCATTCAACACCAGGCCCTCTGATATACTAGTAATGTCAGGAGGAAATAAACGACTGAGATAAGAGTTTCCAAGGAGAAAAATAAAATATAGACTCCAGCTCAGCTGGTGTGACACAGTGGTTGAACATCAACCAATTAACGAAGAGGTCCCTGGTTCAATTCCTGGTCAAGACACATGCCCCAGTTTCAAGCTTGATCCCCAGTGGGGGGCATACAGGAGGCAGCTGATCAATGATGAATATTTTAAAAATAGAGACTCCATAGCTAATTATGATATTTGGAATATTTTTATCCATATCAAAGACCCTGTTGTATTTGCAATGAAAGACCTTCATGCTCCTGTCTTAATCTTCTTTTTCAGACTTTTTTCTACAACTCAAGGTATCCCTTTTCAGTTGCCCTGGCTTCCAACATTTGCTCTCACTGTTCTAGAAATAGGCTTTGGGCCCTAGCTGGTTCGGCTCAGTAGATAGAGCATTGGCCTGTGGACTGAAAGGTCCTGGGTTCTATTCCAGTCAAGGGCATGTACCTTGGTTATTGGCTCATTTCCCAGTAGGGGCTGTGCAGGAAGCAGATGATCAGTGATGTTCCTCTCTCATCAGTGTTTCTCTCTATCCCTCCCCCTTACTCTCTCAAAAGCAACAAAAACATTAAAAAAAAAAAAAATCCGAAACCGGTTTGGCTCAGTGGATAGAGTGTCAGCCTGCGGACTGAAAGGTCCCGGGTTCGATTCCGGTCAAGGGCATGTACCTTGGTTGCGGGCACATCCCCAGTAGGGGGTATACAGGATGCAGCTGGTCGATGTTTCTCTCTCATCGACGTTTCTAGCTCTCTATCCCTCTCCCTTCCTCTCTAAAAATTCAATAAAATATATTAAAAAAATAGGTATTGGCTTCAGACTGGAGTCAATACTAGCTCTTATTACTCATTTGCCTTTTTGTCATATCCACCTGTGAAATAATCCTACCCTCAACCTGCAAAGCCCAGTTCAAAGCTACTTCCTTCATGAAGCCTTAAATATTCCTGAACTAAAAAGATTTTAATAGTGTTAAAGTTCAATGGCCCATTTTTGTTCCCCTGTATTTGTATGGCTCATTCTGCCTTGTATAGTTATCTGTGGATATCTTAGACCAGATCAAAACCTGGCTTCATATGCTTCTTGCTGTGTAATTGGTAGAACCATTTAAATTATCCAAGTCTTCATTGTCCAAACTATAAAGTAGGGAGGGGAGAAGAGTAACCTATCTACTTCTCAAGATTATTCTGAAGATTAAATAGATAAAATATGTACATGGTCTAGGAGCATGTCCAGTATATAGAAAAGTGCACAATTCACTTAGTTCCCTTACTCTCCACTGCCTCAACTGTAATGTAACTCCATCACAGCAGAATTCTGTCCATTTTTCAGTGCAATACCCAGCATTTCATCCTACACCTCAGTCTATACATGTACTAGCTATTCTATCTAATAAAAGAGTAATATGCAAATTGACTGTCACTCCAACACACAAGATAACCACCCCCATGTGGTCAAAGATGGCTGCCCTCATGTGGACAAAAGATGGCCACCATAAGATGGCCTGCAGAGGAGGGCTTTAAATGTTATTATGGGGTAGAACTAACAGCTGAAGTAAATCAAGACTTTTTTTTAAACACGAAATAGGCGACTTAGTCAGAAAAATAAATAGGAATGGGACAATGCCTGTTTAGACTATCTCCAATTTGTGGGTGAACATTTTTAAAAGCCTATAAAATAACAAGATAAAAATGAAAATAAATGTCCAGTTCTCCACATAAAATACCTGGTTCCTCAATTAAAAACAAAACTAAAATGTCTTTGGTTCTCTAGGCCTATGCTTAGAATAATTTCAAGTAAAAAGTCCAGAGGACAATCCAATGTGTCATACTGATTAAAAATTAGGACAATTATCCAAAACCTGCCAAATGACACTACTTAAAGGATGGTAATGTTCAATCGGCAATTTTTGAGAACTATCTGTAAATATAGATGAATAATACATGTATTTTCTATATGTTGATACATTTGCCACCACTTTAAAATTTTTTTTTTTATTAATCCAGAAAATCAGATTGTTCAGAGCACTAAAACCATTGAAACAGTGGGAATTTCTAACAATCCCAAGTCCTTTATATGTCCCAACCTATAACTATTATTTTGAGGTCATTGTCAGAAACACTCCTTTTTTCTCTGGCACTTTCCTATAAATTTTATCATTAGAAATCTACTTTGTAAAAAGTACCACTAGAGAACGAAAAAGTGGCAGCCAAATAAGACAGGTGTGTCATGCACCTAGTCCTGGAGCCAGACTGGAAATACAACTAAATCAGAGAACAGCCACCGGTATTAACAAATTAGACACAGCTGAGGAGACAATTTACAACAAGGAAGGGCAGAGGATGCCTGGAGAGTGGTAGGAATGGAACATGGGCTTGAGAAGGGAGGCTGGCCAGTTGGCCCAGAGGGCAAGGAGGAAGCTGTGTTTGCACCAAAGCCACATCTCTTGGAGACAGGTGTAACATCCAATTGTGAAAAGGAAAAGCCACAGGGCTGCTGGCTTCTGGGGAATCTGGACCCAAGACCACAACCTCAAAAGGCTGCACTGCAAAAGGTGGCCCGAAAGGCAGCAAGAGAGAAACATGCAGTTTCGTTGTTGTTTTGTCTTTGCTTTTATTCTCTAAACCCAGAACACAGGACTTTTCCATTGCAAACACTCACCCAAAGCACAGGGAGAGAGGCACAGACTTGAGGTACCTGAGAAGAGGCCGGGGAGGGAAGCAGGGCAGGGAGATGTGACTAGGAATCCTGGGTTGGGACACTCTTAAGGTTCTGAACCAAAGCAGCCATTTCTCCCCAGAAGAGCTAGCCCCTCCCAGTAACCTCAAGGCAGGTAATACAGCCTATCACACCCTGCATTTTGAGTTTGACAGAGGAAACAAAGGTAGAGGCCAAGCTTACAGGTCTGAATAGTCCCAAGAGCCCTCAGTGACTGCATTGGAAGAGGAGTCTTCTGCCCCACTATTCTGGAACCAGACTGATAAAAACTCCAGGTGTCCAGCCAACCCCAGTGGATCTCTGACCAACCAAGGCCAGAGTAATATTTTGGGCCTCTTATAGAATAGTAGCTCTGGGTAAGGAATAAAACATCCATCTTATTCCCTGAAAGTGAAACAGCATCAACCCCACTTAAAGCCCTGTCAGAAACAGATGCTTGAGTGATTAAGACTGACAACTGGCAGACAGGCAAAGAGGGAAGATTGGCCCTGCATATTTGCAACCAAGGCCTGTACAGACAGACATGAGCAGAGGATCTTTGGATCACTTGGAGCTTCAAGCAGGGTGCTAAAAGCCAAAAGACAGTGCCTAACAGTGACCAGCACCTAAGTGCATAACAGGAAACTCAGAATTAGCAGACAGAACAGATGAGTGGAGTCCTAAACCAACTCCCATGGGGCATTAAAACTCACCTGAAGCAAAGACTTTATTTTTTATTTTTATTAAAATTTTTTAAATTTAAATTTTATCTTATTTTTTACTTTTCTTGCACCTTTTTCCCCCTCACTTTTATTTTTCTCCTTTATTTTAGTTTTCCTCTTCCTTTCTTTTTTCCCATTTTAAAAAATGGATCTTCTTTATCTGCTTTATGGTTATTATTCTAGTCTCTGTTGGTTTATTCATATAACTAATTTCCTCTTTCCTGCTCCTACTCCATTTCCCCTTCTATTTTCTTTTTCTTCACTACTCAATTTTTTCTCTCTTTTATTGTTATTTTCTTCTCCCAATTTTTAAACTTGTTTCAATAACTAAATTTAAGCTTATCTGCTCTCTCTATTCTTTAAAAAAAATACATTTTATTGATTTTTTACAAAGAGGAAGAGAGAGGGATAGAGAGTTAGAAACATCGATGAGAGAGAAACATTGATCAGCTGCCTCTTGCACACCCCCCACTGGGGATGTGCCTGTAAACAAGGTACATACCCTTGACCGGAATCGAACCTGGGACCTTTCAGTCCGCAGGCCGATACTCTATCCGCTGAGCCAAACCAGTTTTGGCTGTTCTATTCTTTTCAAAAATTTTTTTAATGTTTTTATTGTTTCTTCTTGTCTTCTCATTTCTTTTCTCCCTACTCTAGGTTAAACTATGGTCCTGCTCCTATTCATCCAATTCCTTAACCTTATTTTCTCTATTTAAGCTTTGCATTTATAGATTCTGCCCCCTCACCTTTTTTTCTGGGTATTTTTTGTTTGTGCTTTTTGATTTGCTTGTTTTGTTGTGTTTTCTCCATATATTCATTCTTTCTTTTTTCCCCTTGCTAACATTCTTGCTCTCTTTTCTATTTCCCAATTCTCTTTTCTCTGGTGATCAATTTTATTGGGGCTACAGGTGTCTTGTGCTCTGTTCCTACTGTGTCGTGTCTTGTCATGTTGTATTTTGTGCTGTTCGGTAAGCACCCCCACAATGGTTGGCATGATGTGGCAGGGAGCGAGCAACATAATTAGACACCCTAGTGGAGACTTCATCTACGAATGGGACAATAACATTTAAGATCCAACTACATCAGGAGAACCCAAATATCTCAAGTAGGGGCCCAGCACGGGAGACCTGAAAGAGTGCACCACTGGGTCCCAAAAAACATGTATTACATAAGACCAATTCAAAAATCTGGGGGGCACAGCTGATCTAATACTTAGAAACAATTATAAAGGAACAGCAAAAATAAAGAGACAAAGAAATAACCCCAAATAAAAGAAAAGGAATCACCAGGAAAGGAACTAAAGGAAACACAGGCAAGCAATTTGTCAAATAAAGAATTCAGAGTAATGGTTACAAAGATGCTCAAACGTCTAGATAAGAAATTCACCAAGATGTGTAAGAATCAAGAGGAAAAGAAGAATTACATAGCTGCAATAAAGAACACAATGAAAAATTTCAATAGTAAACTAGAAGAAGCTAAGGACAGATTCAGCAAGTTAGAAGAAAAGGTAGAAAAAAAAAACACCCAAGCAGAACAGCACTTGGGTAAAAAATTTAAAAGCAGGCAAGTCTAAGGGAGCTCTGGGACAACATGAAATGAAACATCTGCATAATAGGGATAGGAAGAGGAAGCTGAGCAAGGAATAGAAAACCTGTTTGAAAAAATAATGACAGAAAACTTCCATGAAGAAAAAAGAAGCACAGAGAGTCCAAAACAAGATGAACCTCAAAAGACTGACATCAAGACACACTGTAACTAAATTGGCAAACATCGATGACAAAATAAGAATCTTAAAGGCTGCCAGAGCCTGAAAGTTATCTACAAGGGATCCCGTCTTAGATCATCAACTTATTTCTCAGGCCAGAAGGAAATGGAATGAAATATATAAAGTGATGCAAAGCAAGGGACTGAATTCAAGAATACTCTATCCAGCAAGGCTAGCATTCAAAATTGAAGGTGAATTCAGAAGCTTCACAGACAAAAAGAGGCTAGGAGAGTTTATTACTACTAAGCCAGCAATGCAAGAAATGCCAAAGGGACTGTTGTAAAAGAAAAGAAATAGAAAGGGAATAATATATACATCAAAAATAAAAATGGCAATAAGTACCTATCAATAACCTTAAGTGCAAATGAATTAAATGCTCCAATCAAAAGACATAGGATAGCTTAATGGATAAGAAAACATGACCTATATACATGCTGTCTACACGAGACCCATCTTAGAACAGAGGATAAAGAACACAGACAATGGGGGCTTGGTGGGAGGGACAGTAGCAGGCTGAAAGAGGTTAATGGGGGGAAAGGAGAACCATTTCCCTGAAGAACAGGAACAATACTTGTAATATTTTCAACAATGAAGAGTTTCTAAAAAAGCTTTATTACTTAACTTTAAAAAGAAAAAGCACCACCAGAAGAAATGTACTACAACTAACTTATTTTCAGGAGCCACAGAAAATTCTGCTGCAGATTATCAAATTATCACTATAAATATTAGTATATTAATTTAAAACATAAATTATTAGCCATAGTACCAGAATCTCTGAAGGGCAGAATAATTGGCATCAAACCCTGTTGACACTGTTTCTAGAGAAAAAGCAACAATTTACCTGGGAAGTTATGCTTCAGGAATTTTCTGAAGGCACATACTAACTCCTTTGGACTTAAACTAAGATCTTTTTAAATTTTTCATTAAATTTATTGAGTGACAATGATTAATAAGATTATATAGGTTTCAAGTGTACAATTCTATACTACATAATCTGTATTTTGCACTGCATATTCACCACCCAAAAGTAAAGTCTCCTTCCATCACCATATATTTGATCCCCTTTCACTTCTTCTACTAAGCCTGCTACTTTTTCTCTCTGGTAACCACAGTGCTGTTGTCCGTGTCTCTGAGGCTTTTTTTGTTTTGTTTTTGTTTTCTGTTACTTTCTGTTTATATCCCACACTAAAGGCCCAGTGTACAAATTCACAGGTAGAGTACTGCCAGCCCGCCCCAATGGGTAAGCCAATCTGGGGTGGGGCCAGTGGGGGGCAAGGGGATGCAGGGGGTTGGCTGACTGGCTCCACCCCTGATTGGGGTGGGGGAGCTAACTGGGGGTAGGGCTGGCTGGGGGAGGGGCCTTGGGAGGTTGTGGAGAGCACCAATTGGGCCCGGATCAGTCCTGTTGGCTGCCACAGTGCACATCACAGTGACTGGTTGTTCCAGTTATTCCGCCATTTAGTTACTGGACTTTTATATATATAGATGAGTGAAATCATATGGTTCTTAACTATTTCATCTGATTTATTTCACTTAGCAGGATAGACTCAAAAGCCATCATCTTGTCACAAATGACATTATTTCATCTTATGGCTGAGTAGTATTCCATTGTATATATGTACCACATCTTTTCTTTTTTTTCTTTTTAAAAATATATTTTATTGATTTTTTTACAGAGAGGAAGAGAGGGATAGAGAGTTAGAAACATCGATGAGAGAGATTGCTAAAATCTCAGTCACAGGGATTCCCCCTACACATGTAATAAAATGAAAAATGCAAGTTGTTTTGTTTTATTTAATCTATCTTGAGAAGCCAGTCTTAACTTTTATCAAATGCAAATCTGACATTTTATTTTACTTACTTAAATTTTTCAAAAAAAATTATTTAACTTGTTATTTAAGCATTGCTATAATTTCCTCTCAACATGTCTTCCCAGATTATTCTCCCAATCTATCTCCCACCTATACCTATACCTTTCTCTCTCACCTTCACTCCATTATTCCCTTGCTCTCTTTCTTACACACACACACACACACACACACACACACACACACATTTCCTCTGGCTCCAGCATACTATTAATCTCTGAAACACGACACCATCCCTGTCCATAGATGTGATCTTCCCTCAGCTAAAATGATATTTTTCCATAAAATATTTTCCATCTATCTCAGGTAGAAACATTCACTCTTACCTCAAAATTACACTACACACACCATATGCTTTGTATTTATCATACCTTTTTTAGTCTATACATCTCCTCCCTCCAGAATCCCCAAACCATGCTTCACACTGAATCAGAAATTATTCTTTATGCTCCTGATCAAACCTGAAGTTAATTCTAGCTTAGCACTTATCGCAATGTACTGTAATGACCTGTTCATATACTGGCATGTGAACTCCATTAAGACTATATGTGTGCCTTAACCGGTTTGGCTCAGTGGATAGAGCGTCGCCCTGCAGACTGAGGGGTCCCAGGTTCGATTCTGGTCAAGGGCATGTACCTTGGTTGTGGGCACATCCCCAGTAGGGGGTGTGCAAGAGGCAGCTGACCGATGTTTCTCTCTCATTGATGTTTCTCTCTATTCCTCTCCCTTCCTCTCTGTAAAAATCAATAAAAACATATTTTAAACAAAAAGACTGTGTGTGTTTATATTCACCTATATAGTACCCAATAGGTACTCAATAAATATTTGTATTCCGCCTATACAGTACCCAACAGGTACTCAATAAATAAATACTTGTTGAATAATAATAGTTTCTTAGTCAACTCATTTATGAGTATGAGCTACTCAAAATGCCTATACAAATATCATGTTCATGGTAGGCACACTGTAAACGTTTATGAAATGCTTGAATAAAAATTAATTAAATAATAATAGTAAGTTTACAAGTTTGTCTTCAGAATTTCCAGAGACTGCAGAAAGCAGTAATTAGACTGACAGCATTGCTGGAAAAAGACCAATGCTATAATCCTGCTACCAACTGGAATGAAAGTGTGTACCCTTGACTACCTTTATCTAAAGCTGTTTTGTCCAGGAGCAACATATGACCTTGTACAGGAGAGGAAATCAATGCAGGATTCTTGAGCTGGGGAATGTCTTACCCATGAATTTACAAACCATTCGCCAGCATTCAGAGTTGACAGGAAATCCCAATAGAAGGAGGAACTTGATGAATAGGATTCATTTGGCCTGACATCCCTGATATTGGTTGTTCTTCTTAAGTTATTGTCATGCATGAGAAAAGGCACCTCATCAATACTGCAGGCAGAGGGGGAAAAAAGGGGAAGGGGTGGATAGGCTGAACTCAGCTACCTTGGCACAAAGAGTTCTCAGAAGCCCATCAAGGTCACAAGTTCTACTAGGGTTCCTTACTCCCTCCCAAATCTCATCAAAGGCTTAAATGCTAGTCATTTACATTTTGATGTCCATATTTTTCAGCCCTAGGATTCAATCTTTTGTGGTATATTATATCATATCAGTGATGGTGAAAGAGTAACTTCCCTATCCAGGTGTTTTCTGGCATCAAGAAAATAGCAGGTACAGTAGTGACTGAGAGTGGATGGCGTGGTGCTAGGGCTAAGGTCCCAAAATTATGCTAAGCAGGCATCCACACAATCTTCCAGTATTTTTCTGACCCATTTCCCAGTTAGGCACTTGCCCTGAGTATTTCTGGCCCTAGATCCTTCACATCAGGTGATATCATTAGAAAACTTCCTGGTTCTCTTATCGGCTATTTGCCTTGAAGAGTCTCTGCTTTTATGAGAATCTCTCTTCCTTTCCCACTAAAATACCTGTAATGGCCATGAAGGAGAAACAGGGTTGAGACTTCGATTCCTGGCCCTTAACAACTATAAAATTGGAGGAAATGAAGGAAATAACTTTTTCAGCCAATGGACAATAGGGAGCACAGTATGATGATTTCAGAAAAGACAAATAAATGAAATAGGCTCTACCATTATCCAGGCTTACTTTTTGCAGGTGAATACAGGATTGTAGAATATAGGATGGGGAACCTAAAAGGGACCCAGCTATTGCGCTGAAATGAGGAGAAAAAGATCAGATTAAGGAGAAGTCAAGACACTTAGAATTTTGGGGGCTAGAGTCCTATAGAGGATGGAGCTAAGAGAAAGACAGGGAGATGAAGATATCTTGATTGACCTAGGGCAATATGCAATTTGCAGGAGAAAGCCTGGATATAAACTGGGGTTAGTTTTATTCCATTTCAGCTCTTAGCCCAGTAACAGCTATCCATCCCCCACCAAGAGCCATATATTGAAAGCAACTGTATACAGGTTCCTGGAATAGCTTGCACAGCAGCTGGTGAGAACCAGGATAGTAAAAAAGACCCTGTACTGCAAATATAAGGGTTTATGTTCTGGTTGCTGGCTGCTGCTTTTTGTCACTAAAGGGCAGACAGAGAGATGGGCAACCATTGTTGCATCTCCCTCCACTGTTGCAAAGCCCTCCCACTCTGCTTGAAGTGACTTTAAAAGGATTTAAAACTCCAACACCTTTTTTTACTACCCTTCATTCTTCTCCTTTTGAAAGCCAGACATTAAAGATAATCATTTTAAAAACAAGTGAATATATGGGGAAATTTACAAAGTGAGTGTATAAAACAGCTGCATGTATGGGGAAATTAGAATGTGACTGTGTATGCCCAAGAAAGGGATCAGAAAAATCTGAAAATTCCTGAAGTTTGGACCGCAGGCTAACCCATGGTACAGAGAATCCTAAACAATTATAATAATTTTTTTAATGCAGCAAATCCTTGGGAAAGAGGAGAATCTGATTTCCAGTGTTACCACTTCATTAGATTCAAATGTCCATTTTTCAAACAAAAAAATATCCCCCACAAAATATCACAAGGAATACAAAGAAACAGGTAAGCATGGCACATTTAAAAGAAAAAAATAAAGCAACAGAAACTCTCTGAAAAAGAGCTGATGGCAAATATACTAGACAAAGACTTCTAAAAATTGTCTTAAAGATACTCAAATAACTAAAGAAAGATGTAGATAAAGTAAAAAAAAAAAAAAAAAACAACAATGTATGAGTGAAAGAACAATATTAATAAAGCAATTAAAAACTTAAAAGAAACAAAACATAATTCTGGAGCCGAAATGTATAATATCTAAAATGAAAAACTGACTAGAGGGATTCAAAGGAAGATTTAAGCAGGCAGAAGAAAGAATCAGTGACTTGAAGATATGACAATAGAAGTTATTGAGTCTAAGGAATGTATAAAACAGTTTAAGGAATACCCTGACACCAAAGTCAAACACACACCCTATAAGAAAATAAAACTCAGCCCAGCCGGTGTTGCTCAGTGATTGAGTGTTGACCCAGGAATCAAGAGGTTTAATTCCTGGTCAGGGGCACATACCCAGGTTACAGGCTCAAACCCCAGTAGGGTGCATGCAGGAGGCAGCTGATCAGTGATTCTCTTATCATGTTTCTATCTCTCTATCCCTCTCCCTTCCTCTCTCTTAAAATCAACTTAAAAAAAAAACAAAAAAACTACAGAACAGCATCCCTTATGAACACGGATGCAAAAATCCTTAACAAAATACTAGCAAGCAGAATTCTACAGTGTATTAAAAAAATTATACAATATGGCCAAAAGCAATTTATTCCTAAAATGTAAGGATGGTTCAACATAACAAAATCCATCAATGCAACACATCATGTTAACAGAATGAATGGGGAAAAACACATAATAATCTCAATTGTCACAGAAAAAGCATTTAATAAAATTCAACACCCTTTTATAATACCACTTACTAATGTAGAAATAGAAGAAAACATCCCAACATAATAACAGATATATGAAAACCTATGGTGAACATCATATTCAAGATGTTCACTGAAAACTTTTCCATTAGGAACAAAGCAAGGCAAGGCAAGAAACAAGGCTAGGTCTACTTTTTCCTCTTTTTACAGCAGTTACTGGAAGTTCTAGCTAGAGCAAATAAGCAACACAGATAAATGGATGGCATAAAAATTAGAAAGGAATATATAAAATTACCTGTTTTCAGATGATAAAATCATATGTAGAAAATTGTAAAGATTCCCATTAAAAAACAACAGAATAAATGAATTCATGAAACTAGCAGGATACAAAGTCAAAACACAAATATCAATTGCATTTCTATACAGTAACTAGAGGCCCAGTGTACGAAATTCATGCATGGGGCGGGGGGAGGTTGTCTCTCAACCTGGCCTGCACCCTTTCATAAACCAGGTCCGCTGGCTCCTAATCACTGGCCTGCCTATCTGCCTCATTACCCCTAACCTCTCGCCTGCCTGCCTGCCTGCCTGCCTGCCCGCCCGCCTGCCCGCCTGCCCGCCTGCCCGCCTGATCACCCCTAACCACTCACCTGCCTGCCTGATCATCCCTAACCCTCTGCCTGCCTGACTGATCGCCCCTAACCATCTCTGCCTGCCTGCCTGCCTCATCACCCCTTACCACTTGCCTGCTGCCTGATCACCCAAACCATTCTGCCTGATCGCCCCTAACCACTCTGCCTGGTAGCCCCTAACCACTCTGCCTGCCTGCCTGATCACCCTTAAATGCCTTTGCCTCAGCCCCCGAAGCTGTGACTTCATCTGGTAGGACGTCCAGAATGACATCCAGAAGGTCGTTTGGCTGTCCAGTCTAATGAGCATATTATGCTTTTATTATTATAGATGATGAACAATCTGAAAGGAAATTACAAAGATAATTCCATTTACAAAAGCATCAAAAAAGAAGAATATACTTAGAAAAGAACTTAACCAAGGATGTTCAATTTAAAAAACACCATTGAGAGAAATTTAAAAATTGGAACACATCTCACCCTAGCTGGTTTGGCTCAGTAGAACATCAGCCTGTGGACTGAAGGATCCCAGGTTCAATTCCAGTCAAGGGTACATGCCCAGGATTCAGGCTAGATCCTCAGTAGGGGACATGCAGGAGGCAGCCAATCAATTATTCTCTCTCATCATTGATGTTTCCATCTCTCTATCTCCCTCTCCCTCTCTCTCTCCCTCCCCCACCTCCTCCCTCTCTCTTTTCTTCCCTGAAATCAATAAAAAATATATATTTTTTAAAAAATTGGAACACATCTCATCTTCAGGTATTGAAAGACAACATTATTAAGATATTGGTACTACCCAAAGCAGTCTACCAATTTAATGCAATCACTATCAAAATGCCAATGATGTTTTTTGAAGAAAAAAAAAAACATTCTAAAATTCATATAGCTAAGAGAAGGTGGGGGACTGCTAGATGGGGTTCCATGACTGGGCAGCCCGCACTGCAGCTTGGACCTTTCACGGAGCTACAAGTTCAGACAGAAAACTGCTCCATCTTGCAAGGGAAAGTGGATCTTATCTGAGGCCTGAAAACCCACAACTGGGCAACCACTGAACAGCTGTGAGTCCCCAATTGGCACAGACACTCAGATTCAAGGGAGCTCTTCACTCCCACATGGGAAGGTGAGATTTCTCAGGGATAAGGTGAGATATCTGGGTCCCAGAGGCAGAGGTGGCGGCTGTGGTGGCAGAGAGAAATGCACGCGCTGCGGGACCTGGAGGGCTGGGGAAGTCTGTGCCTAAAAATGTCCCCAGCTGTTGGGTCTGGCGTGATCTGTGAATGTGGAAAGGGGTCCTCAAAGTTGCTAACAGAAGGGATCTCTAAAAAGCAACCCATTCCGATCTGACCCGGAGGGAGAGCATAAGAATTTGAAAGGTGTGCACACTGCTTAAACTTGTGCACAAACCCATTGTTCACACACCTGGGCTTTTTCCCCTCTTCATTCCCTTGCTCCTGATTACTAAGCAAGGATCACCCAGTTTGGCATACCCTGGGAGACTGCAGGGGCAAGTTGCTTTTCTGGAAACTGGGGATCGGAGCAGGGACAGACCATCGAAGAGCCAACTCTGAGGCAGCCCACCTCCACAAACCAGCAGTGAGGGCCACAGAGAAAGAAGGCTAGAGCAGCCAAAGAGACTGGGAAGTCAATCCAAAAACACTGCCACCTAGGGGCTGAATTACAAACTGACTTTATTATTTTTTATTATTTAATCCAAAATAAAGCAATATATAATAAGAAATTAAGACACTGCCTACTTAAAAATAAGAACTGGCTTATAAAATTGAAAAGCAGTGGAATTCAGGGAACTGCAATACTATCCAGACTGAGAAACAGGCATGCCAAACAGAATAAAGGAAGTGAATGACCTTCACTACTGCATATTTTTTTATTCTAATTTTT